CTTATAGGTTTGTTAGGGGAGTTAAAGATCTTTGTGTGTGTGTGTCATAGCAAGCAACATGGGCTGTACAACTGGTATAGTTTTAAGGATTTGCCAGACATATCCTGATTTAGGTGGGACCGCCTTGACAGACCTTTACCACCGTGGTGCGCGCACCTAGGCCTCAAGATCATCCGACCAATCATGGACAATGACGCTATTCCCTCCAACCAGAAGAGTGTGGCAAATTACTGTGTTGCTGTTAAGCGAATGAAGCTACCACAGAAGGGGTATATAGTAAATGTAGGATTTCCTGCTTATAGTAAGTTATTTGTTCCTTAACAGCAACCCAGATTGGCACAGTCGTCACCAGAAGGGTGCAGGTATGTCTGATGTATTCCTCCGGTCATGCGAACTATATTCTAAACTCCTTCAAGGGGCTTATATAGAGAATCATATAGGGCAGCAGTATAGGGGTTAAAAACAGGGATATACTACGAGTTTAGACTATAGCTCCTATTCGAGAATGAAATGGACAAGATATTCGAACATGCATGGAAACTGGACGTATATATTCTCTTCGGGGAGGGCCCTACAAGAAGGAGTATGGTATTTGGGGGTTTATACTGGGCTCCCCCTCTTTCTGGGAGCTTCCATATGTGCATTTCTATATACATATGCTCGTGGGCTTAGAGTTTACTGTCACTCATATATGGAAACGAGGGTCCATAATTCATCCACCATGTGGCGACGAGGCTCCGGCCGGGGAGGATGGTGCTCCAGCCGAAGACGAGGAGGAAGAGGCTGGCTTAGTGCAGGGGTTCAAACAATAGAAATCGGGACTTGGGGAATAGTCTACTGCATTTACATGGGGATTACAAGGGCATGATGTTGGTAAGTATCCATTCTTCCACTGGTAACTTCTTGAGTCTGGGGCGGGTGAAGGCTTCGGGTAATGAAAGAATCGGTTGTAGAAACTATTATAAGGAAGTATATAAGGAGCAACGCGGGATCCATTCCGCCATGCCCTACCAAGCACCAGGTGGTCAAGTATGAAGGTCAGGCTTTCTCTTTGCAGTACTCGCTGCGCGTATTGAGAGGCAAAACGGGATTGGGGTTGCTCAACATCGGGCTACGTACTTCAGTGAGTCCAGGGATATGTAGGGGCTTTCAAGCTTCGGGAAGCTTAGAGGGAATAGGAAACATTCAGACCCAAAATGGTTTAGGGTTTAGGTCTGGATTCTACGTGTAAGGAAGTTAAACGCATGCAGTTGAATGCTTCGCGGGTTCCGGAAAGCTAGGGCCAATCAAACATCAAAAGGGGCCGTGTTGCAGAGATTGGGCCAAAGTGGGCGACAAGCGTCATGTCTTGAGTGCTCCCCCCGTAGTGACGTAACAGTGTGTAACAATCGTAGGATTGGGGGGCACATTACAAGTGTTGCGTAACTGTTACTGAGTGGGAGCAGTATCCAAATTCAAGTCCAACTCTGCTTGCTTCAGGTATGATATGGCAAGCTTTAGGAGCTTCTGCTCTGGAAAGAAATACTCCTCACGTTGCTGCTGCATTCATGACACATCCCATGTTTTATCTGCATGACATTTCCCGCCCAAATTCAAACATGTCTACACAACTCCTGCATCATGCTGGCGGGGGCCTACTGCCACAAGGGAGAAAGCAGCCAGGGGCTCGTATAGGGAACCCGCACCCTGCTAAACACAAGGGTGTGAAGCCTTTGTGCCCTGCTTGCATAGAGCTACTCTAGTTTTCTTACTGGTGGTTGTCTGTGGGGAATAAGGGAATACAATCGCTACAATCTATAATCTCATGATGTATTGCCTACTAGCCACCAGTAAGTTTTCAGAGTTCAGGATTCTTGTCTGTTGCTGCGAAGCTTTTCCTGGTTCTTGCTAGGTCCGCAGACCTGAAGAGAGTGCTTGAACGCTGAAGGTTGATGGCGCTTCACCGATCTGGTGGGTCGCCTCACAGGTTCAAGTCCCAGCTTTCAAACTGGATCATGAACCTTCACCCTGAACAATTTAATCTCAAGTCCAACACCTCATCAACAACAATGGAGAATCAAACGGAAAAGAACATGGACAATTAACGGTTCTGGTATAAAGGAACCTCTTCATAAATGCTCTTGGAGGCCGTTCAAGTACCCCCAGTGATCCTCTGCGCAACTCGAGCAATCCCCGAGCCTGCATCCTGAATCCCAGACCCCGATGAGGCAGCGGATGATGGTGACGCCCCGGCTGCGGATATCGACTATTTCTGAGCCCTAAACCGTAAGCTTATTATGATTTACTAGTATTACTACTAGTAGTAACCCTAAACCCTAAACAGTAATATTAGTAGAAATACAGCTACTAGTATTAGTACTACCACTCAACTACGCAGGTTGCCTCGGCCAACCTTTGCAGGTTGGTTGCCCTGAAAGATGAAAGCCAAAAAAGGGCAGTACCACTGCAAGGACGGCTGTACTTATACAAGGGGGCTATATGGTAGTTCCCATAAATAGGGGAATCCCCAGAAAGGGACCAATTTCCGGAAAGCCTCGTGTGGCTTCCGAGTTGTTTCGGGGGGGGGGGTAGCATCAAGAGGCCCAGGTTCCAAATTGAGCGTTCTTTTACGGGTTGAGTGATGAGGTTCCTGAGGCCACGGAACATTTTGGTGGCTGTTTTAATCGCAGTTTTCATTTCATTGTCCGTTTCAAGAAAGCCGCTAAACCCTCAACCCACAGTTGAGGGTACTATAAGGGTATTGGTCTAAATTCCCTATAATACGGGGTCCTATATTTGGGTTCCCATTGTAATACGGGGCCCTATATACATTTCCCCCATTTTGGGAACAGTAATTTAGGGAAACTACCACAAGTGCCTTTATTACAAGGTGTAGGCCTCCTCAGCCAAATCAGAATGCCTCCAATCAGCTATGGTGGAGGATAGTGCGTTTCACCTCTGCGCTACAATCAGATGGCTCAAAAGGTGAAGTAAAAGAAACCAGGGTACTGGAAATACGCCCAACAACCCCACACCCTCACCCCATAAACCAGTAATGGTATCTACAATAGGAATCCTTTAGCCTATCTTTTTGAGCCCCCTGATACAAGAGTCCAAGACGCAAGTCTGGTAAAGTACCTTAAGACCGAACGGTCCTAGATCCCTTGGTGCAGCCCTGGCTGTCCTCTCCAAAAAGGATCACCCAACACTGACTTAAAGGCGGCATTCTCCCGAGCCCTTCATATGGTGTTTCCAGAAATGAGGAGTCTTCTTCTGGGAGTCCCTATGACAACGGATTATTGTATGGATTATTGTATGATTTCTTGGGGTCTATTTTGTCGGCGGCCCTGTTCATGCACAGACTGATGCCATGTTCCGGAGAGTTCATTTTGACGGAGGGTCAGCGATGGTTGCACAACTTGCGCCGATGTGCTGGGAAAGCTTTGTCGTCACTTCAAGGATAACATGGAGAGCTTGAGAATTTTGTCTCACTTGCTTGAAGCGCCTACATATGGTAGTTTCCCAAAATTAGGGTACCCCCAATTTAGACCCCAATATACTATAGTCCTTATTATGGGGACCCCCAAAATGGTACCCCTAATTTTGGGAAACCCCCATATAGCCTAGAGCTAGGGCCGCTATGGTTGCCGCCAGCGAGTGGACAAAGCTTCCGCTGCACATCGGATGCTTGCAATTCAGAGCCCGTGCTGGGCTGGTCGGTCTAGTCTATTTGACAACATTGAGGTCTGTTAGTCTCAAACCTGTAACCCCTCACGCCTAAGCCCAAACCCTGGGTGCTGCAAGAACCCTGAACCCTACCTAACCCGTTAGTCCCCAAGCCAGCCATGGAGTTTAGAGCATACGGCATTCAGAGTTCGTAGGGTTTCGATGGAAGCGAGTTCCATCTGCATATCCACCCGGGATACAACGCGGCATCTCCAAGCTCGGAGTATATAGCCCCAAAAGCCCTAGTCCAGATGGCGCATATGGACCCATATATTGCATCATGGTCCCGGTCTCGGGACATACTGATAGCAGATACTACGACACATGAAGGCAAGGTGCGCAAGTGTACGTAGTTTGCATGTAGAGTTTTGTGCGGTCCCGGACGAACCACTCTCTTGATTAGCTTGTAATCTTAACTTGTACCCCAGCACGGATTCTGCAGATGACGCTGCCGCGGGCAGCGTGGATAGGATGGCACGAGGGGGTGTACATGCTTGCTCAATTTTCTTATGAAGCAAAGCAGGTTGCAGGGCAGGGTTTTGGGCGAGTGTACAGGACAGCCGATTCAGCCGATGTAGCAAAGTAGTATCGGGATCAATGAGGCGGATTGAGAAGGTGTGAACACGATCAGCAACAGGGAACTTGGTGGCTTTTGCCTCATCATCATCGTCTGCTGGATACTTGGTACTGCTCCTCACAGTGATTTGGACTTCCTCCGCCCTAAGGCTCCTTTCAACATGAAGATGCGATTGCCCCGCGAAGGCCCTTATTCCTCCGTGGGTTTATGTAGGAAGGGGAATGCATGGGGTATGGTTTGATGCCCGAACTCGAGAGCGGAGGTCTTTGGTGAGTAAGCCTGGGATGTTTTGCGTTGCCTAGGCTTTCTGGACGTACTCCGCTCCCTTGCCCGCCAAGTCTTGCACGTTGGTACAGCCCTGCACCACTGGCGCTGCATCGAAAAAGCCCGAGTACTTTTTGTAGTGTTGCCCCCAATTGTAGTTCAATCAGAGCTTGTCCCCAGGAAGAGGCATCGCAGGCATCCGCAATAGTCAGTGCTGTCTTTAGATGAGCGTAGCAGAACCCTGGAAGCACCCATCTCGTATGGCGGTAACCAAAGTCCTCTGAAAGCCCCATCCGTCGTAATCCTGGCAAACACCCGCAGAATCTTAGTTTATGTTTTTGCCATGTGATTCTCCATTATTAATGCTGCGGGGTCACCAGAATCCCTTCACGAAAAGAACCAGTGCTACCCTAAAACCTAACTAAACACTAAACATCCCCAAGCCCTGGCCCAGGTCATGGGCTTGGCCTGGACGAACCTAGGTGGTGCGACTCTCTTCATTGAAGCCCGAGGCCGCCAAGCAACATTGCAACATGTTTTAAGGCCACGGTTTAGGATTTAGGGCTTAGGGTTCACCGCGTTGGGCGCGTGAGGCTGACTGCGAGGGCTTGAAACAAATGGACCATGGTTTTTGCGTTCCTTATGCCGTGGTCAGTTGGGGGTTCCAAGGAGCTGGCATTACGAGTGATTAGGGCCTGTACTGCTTCTACAGTAGGCTTCCCTTCTGCGTGCCCTTCATATGCAACGCAAACAAAACAAGCAACCCAACTTGGACAGCGGGGACAACGTAGAGTTATGACTTGGAGGCAAGTGCTGGCAAGCATGTTGATGAGAGCGAAACATACGCGATCACGATCATGCACACGGACTGTGGGACCTTACAGATGCCATGCGTGAGCCCTCGGCACAGCTTGAGGCAGGAGGGCGATCCGGTTTGGAGGGCTGATCTAAAAGGGATGGCCGGGCCCGAAAACCTGCAGGGCCCTTGGACAGCAATCTAAAGAAAGTCCCCAAACAACAGTATTTATTGAACGTCCAAGATTCTGCTGGACTACCCCCTTCGCCCACATGATTTAGGCTATAATTTTTAAGGTTTCGAATAAGGATTTCAGATGAAAAATGGTCGGCTTCAGTTTTGGGATTTGGTAGTTGGATTCTGTGCCTAAAGCTCTCAGGACTGAGTTGTGAGAGGATTTCAAAACAGCTGCCTTCCTAAATCCTTTTCTCGGACCTCAAAATCTGTAGAGTTGTTCATTTTTGGGGCCAAACCAGCAGACATTACACAGGGTCTTCCCAACAATGGCCTGAAACTGAAAGCGTGCCGGCCAAAACACGGTCTTTTCACAAAAAGCGGTGCAACATTCTAGAGTGTAGTTACATGATACATATGTCTAAGGTTAATCTAGCTTACAACACTTCTCCACGGATTCAGGCCACTTGGCCTTTTGATTTCGAATTGGTTGCAGGACGCTTAGCAAAAGCGACATAAGGTAAGTTCGGAAAAGGCAGAATCAAGGCGAAGCAAACCCCGACAAATCTCCTGCTCCCAATTCTTTGCCCGCCAAATCAGACCTTCGTTACCCAAGCGAAAGCCGCACCTTTCCGGCTTCTACTATACTATACAATATGAAAACATATGATAGTGTACTATTATCCGTTTTAACATATTATAGTAGCCGTGAACCCTTAAACCTAGCGCTGGTGCAAGCGAACCCATCACCCGCCACCAGGGCGAATGCTGAAAGGCCAGCTTCTTGCGGCGCAGTCTTGGTTTGATATGGTGGCTGCTCAGAAGAGGGGTGTAGTCCCCCTTAAGTAGATAGAATATGGGGTACATGGCGATCCGGCTTTTATTTACCCAAAGCCATATTCTATCTACTTAGGGAAGACTACACCCCAGTATCCTGAAATCCAACTGAGATTTATGGGTGGTCATCCTTAAGGATTGAGCAGATCCGAAGATTTAGAGGAGTTCCTATGCACAGGATCGGCAGTTACTGGAAGGGTTACAGAGGGATTCAAGTTGAAACGTTTCAGCCGGCTTTGTGGTCTTGAAGCCCAACCCCGGTGTGATGGGTGCCCTTCTATCCATTTGTCTGCCTCTCACTGAACGGGGTTCTTGCTTCTTGGGTGGATGTTGCGGCGTTTCCTGGTTTCAGAGGCTCGCTGAGATCGCTGAGCAAAGCATTCGACAAATCAGTGATGGGTTGGGGTTTCCTATGACCACAGCTCACTTCGCAGGCTCGAGTCATTAAGTGGCGAGGAAGGGGGCTTCGGGCAGCGGTGCAGAAGTCATGGCTTCGGATGATGGATGGGACCCCAAGCTTTATGATGCCTTGCTGCGAGCACTGAAAGAAGAGCTTCGAACGGAGTTTCAGGCTGAGAAAGCCGTTCTGCTAGGGCTGAGAGAAGGGCTTCGTATGGGTTTTCAGGTTGAAACAGAGCGGGCTATTGCGCAGTGCATGGCACGAGTGGACGAACTGCAGTACGAAATCAGGCAGCAGAAAGATCATACATTTGATGCTTGTCCTGAGCAGATTGTCAACATGCCTGAGGCAATATGTCCTGAGAAGGAAGTCCCCAACCCAGACTTGCAGCCGACGGAAAAAGCTCGGAGCGCGCCAGAAGGGCCGAAAGAGCCCGTTCCCCTCGGCGAGTCGACGTGGAACGCAGTGCTGGTCATTGGGCTTGCTGGGGCTGGATGGTTCGACACCATTGTCGCAAGTGCCGTTGTCATCGCAAGCCCTCTGATGCAGCTTGCGTTTACCATTGTGCTTCTGACAAGGGATTTCTTGGGAGACCCTTTGACGGCTGAGATTGGCCCGGCACAGAGATGGAGAATGGGGGCCGCGCATGACCACAAGCATCTGGATCTTGCAGACACAAGTCTTGTGTCGCGTGTATGCAGCGGAGATTCTTCCCTGATCATGTCCAACAAGCAGGCCGACCTGATTGGGCAGGTAAATGCATATCTTGGCCTGGAAGATGCTCAGTTGGTCCCTGATGGCCTGTCCCCTGGGACTGTCCTTTGCGTTCTCTGTATTTTCTGGTGGTGCCTCTATCTTGGCAGGGAGCTGCGCTCAATCCTTTTGTCCGTCGAGGCTCTGTGGCATGTGCCACGTGGCTCCACTGAAATTGTTGATGGCGCACTACTCTCCTGCGTGTCCATCCCACGGCGTTGCTTGTTCTACATCGTTCGGCTCTCAAAGGCTGCAATCTCCTGCATGTTGCTCGTCGCTGGCATTCTATGGATTGCAAGCACTACATCTGTCAGGCGGCTTATGCTGCATGCTGTGGTCTTGAAAAATCTCCTAGAGCTGGACACCATCTTTTACGGAGCTTTCATGCCCATGAAATTCCGGGTCAGCATCAAGAAGCTCAAGCCCTTGCACTTCCGCAGCTCTGTATGGCGAAGCCAGATCGAGGGCCTTCTCGTGGTGCTGCTGTTCGCAGTGGCAATGATTTTGACGTGGTCCCAGCTGGTTGCCCCACTCTCTGCCACCATGCAAGACTTGAAGCACGAGTACTGTGCTGGCAACCAAGATTTTGTGGTTGGCAGAAATGATCATCATGGTGTGGCCGTCGTGCGACCAACCGTGCAATTTTCTGAGGATTTGCGGCCAGGCTATGTTGCACAAGAAGTGCGCGAGTATGCTCTGTCAAGTCAATCACATCAGGGCCAGCTCCTTCTAGCTGTCGACAACATACGTGACTTTGAGAGGACGCGTTTGGAGACGGTGGCCACCTCCACGACGCAGTCACTGCGGTGCGATGATTTTGACAACTGGTTCCTCTGGAGACGGGGAGATGCTATTCCTGACAGATACGCGCCGTACTGGTGGTCAGCAGCCATCGGCCTAGGATTGCCAAGCAACAGTACCTGTGCGGACATGGCTGCCCACTGCCATGGTCCCCATTCGCAGCTCCTGCGCATGGTCTGCAGTGTAACATGCGGGTGCGTGGAACCTTCGGCCAATCCGATGTACATGGTTCAGGCCCAAGGATGCTTGCAGCAATGTCGCGATGAAGTACAGTTCTGGACAGATGAGATTCCCTGCGAAGATGCAGCAACAGACTCGGTGGCTTGGCAGGCCTTCTGGGATTTGTATCCTTCGGCTATGGAGGCATTCTATGGGGCCAGCGAGGCGCAGAGATCTCAGCTTCAGGCATTGGCCGAAAACATGAAGGAGGCCGGCTGCGGCGAGCTGGATCTTGAGCTCGAACCAACTGAAATTCTCTCTGAGGTTCATTTCTGCGATGGACATCCTCAGCTTTTTGCGCCTTTGAGCCAGCTTTGCCCGGCAACATGCTGTACAGGCAACGGTCCCTTTTGCCCATCTAGCTGCAGTGCGTAGAGCAGCGCCACAATTTTTTACTAGCTGCAGGGAGGCTTGATGGACCTCTTCCGATCGGATCCGACAGCTGCATGGCACCAAAAGCAAGTAGAACGCCTAGCACGCTGAACCGTGAACAAAAGCTGCACCTCAATGTGCCGATCGGATGTTTAAGCCACGGGGCGCCGGAGAAAACTTGGCACTGGCCCTCTCAAGGAGGCGTCTGCCCAGCAGTTGGACCTTGTTTTCTTCGCATCAAGCCATTCCTCCTCTCTTTTAGTAGATGGTTCAGAATACAGCCTTTTGCAAAAGGTTGTTTGTAGGGGAGGATGGCTGAGTCTTCGAAATTCTTTAATTGGATTTAGTTTCTAGAGGGCAACAGCCCTAGCACACCCAGCCATATCCAAGCATGACTGAAGCTTGGTCGGCGTGGGGACTGTAGCAAGGGATACGGATGCCATGAGATGCCACAGGCTTTCTTCCACAGTCTTTCCTGAATATCCCCAGTTCCACCAAGTTCTGATCCGGGTTCAACACAGGGCTGCTTTAAGGCAAGGCATCCGTACACGGCGAAGAGACGTGCAACAGCAAAGACATGGGCATTGCTAATACTAAATTCAGATTTAGCCGAAACACCTTGCTCGCACAGCTTGTTGGTTCTGCCTATGTAGTAGTTATAGGTCCCCGTGGACGGTTACGGAGATACCTGGACCGTCCTCACTTTGCAAGCACTCGGCATCCTGCAGCGTGCCTCAGAAGGATCTCAGCTACTGAGCTACTGGCACGGTCAACTGGCAATGCTGCTGCGGGATAGAAAGGTGCAATCGGGTAGGAGGAAAATTGGATGCAAGCAACCCAAGTCAAACTTGGTTCTAAAGACGTACCCGCTGCATGAGGATAAAATTTGCGCTGCAACTAGGCTATATGGGAGGGTCCCAAAATTAAGGATTCCTTGTCGCAGGTCTTTAAATCAAGGATTCTCTTATTTTGTGGCTTATATTGGGCCCTCAATTTTCGGAAACTGCAAAATCTTGTTTTCCGCTATTGTCTGCTTGTGCAGCAGGCTTGGACATCGAGATCATCAGTGACAGTGTCAGTTTCCAGGCCATTCCGATGCAACAAAGTTTCTGTAGCAAGCCGCTAAGTATGTGTGGGCACGAGGCAGGCGACGCTCTCTAGTTAATAGTAATAGTAAATATAGCAACAGGGATAGTACTATATAGCAATTGTAACAGTAATCAACAGCAACAAGATTCATGAATTGGCATTTGGCCCTCTAGTCTGGGGGACTTATCCAGACTGGGCTCTTGCGCGCATGTCAAAATAAAAGTGTGGGTGGCCTAGCTGCTGGTCAGTAAATGGAATGGGCCATAGGGTTTAGGGTTTAGGGTTTAGGGAATTCCATTGAATTAGCAAGCCGCTGTGAGATGGTCAACTCTTTCCTGCATGCCAGCAAGCTAGTCAGCTAAGCCATCTAGGCCGAATAGGGAGATCTATCAAAGCAAGGTCATCGGTCTGCCCGTGTGCTAGCAGCTGCTAGTAGCGGTTGTAGCTTGCAAGGGGGCAAGGATGCTTCTTCGGGAATGCTGCATGGCATTTGTCCGCATGATCCCTCGAACATGGGAATAGATACTACCAAAGATGGGTATGCGAATTGCAAGAACACGCACCCTAAACCTCAAGCCCCAGACCCTAACCTTGAAAGAGCCAGTGCCGTATGTGAGGGTGTAAAGCCCTTTGGTTAAAACATGAAAAAAGACCCTAATCCTGGTAACTGCAACTTCGCGTGGAGGAGGCCGATCTTCCTCAAGATAAGTTGGGCTCTAAGCCTCAAAGGGTACAAAGTGATTTGCAGCTTCCATCGGGGGATGTTTTGGGATGTTGTTTCATACAGCAGGAGCATGATCATTATTAATTACTTTCTTGGCAACTTTTCTTCGGAAGCTTAGGGTGTGGGCATCCGAGCTCTGTATAGGCTAGTTTGAAGCTTGGATTGTCCATGGAATGGTCCTGGTGTGTCCTTTCTCGGCCAGGCAAGGCGGTTGCAAGACAGAAAGTTTGAAACATGTGCTACAAGGACCTGCTACAGGGAACGAAGCAGGCAGGCCCCGTTGTGGGGGTGCACTTTCAAGAACGGTCAGTTCCAGCAGCACGTTTGTTGAAGGCAAGGAGGCTCACACTTTTGCGCCTTTGCTCTTTAGCCCGAGGTCGGTGGTTGCAAGAATTTCTGAAGCCCAGCGTACGATTGCAACAACACGAAACAAGCCCACACAGCTTCCACAATCAGAACCCTTTCAATGAGGCCCAGGCAGACACTCAATGACTTCGACACCCCTACCCCGTGGAATCTATAGAGTTTGCCGAAGCCAAAAACCGGGTCCTAAGGCCAGAGCCCACCACGCCGGATGCCAACGAGGACGCAGATCTCAGCTCCATGCAGGCAGGACGGGCAATCCTATCAGCATTAGCATGGGGGATTCGGAATGCAATATGGGGGTTGCCATAAAAAAGGGGCCACAATATGCAACACAATACATACCCTGAAAGGACAAGCAACCCCAATGTTTTGGGAACCCTATACCCTGTCTATATATATTGCTGTATGGGCACTACCTCCTTGAAAGGGGCGAATTCTTGGAAACCCCAATATAGGTTCAGGATTTCAGAACACGATCAGTATGGCTCCAAACAGTTTTTGCATGGGTTCTTTGCCTAGATTAGCCCTGACAATCCCTCAAATGCGCTAATTAAGGAGGAGTCTTGTAGGGAGGGTGAGTCGGAAATCCATGATTGGGTGTCTTCTTCGGGGTCCTTAGCGCACAAACCTTGCATGCTGGAGCAAGTGTGAGGGAACTTGGTTTTGAGCATGCATTCATGCTGTCCAATATTGACCCGAAATTGAGGTACTTCCAACAAGGGAAGTGCGTGGGAAGCAGGGTCGGTTTGGGGAAGAATTGGCGAGTTACGGAACGTGCCCTGTTTCAAGACAGGTTCGAACAAGGATACAGGCTTTCCGAGCTCAGAGTAACACACCTTCTTCGCAGAGAACCCGACATGTCTTGCACCAGCTGGATTTGAGGAGGCGCTGCAAAGATCCCTATGTATATCAGCATCGTTATGCTCTTGTTATCATTATGACTAGCATACATGTAATTTTCTATTACCAGTATGAGTAGCAGTGTCATTACTAGTTACTATAACTATCACCAGTATCACTGAAGCTGCTTTTCTTATTGCTACCGTTATTCTTGTCATTTACCTGGTCGGTCGGGCAAGGCTATGACATGCAGCTTGTAGTCGCCCTTGCACGAAGCCCGCAACTTCAAAGCCCACAAAACCTATAGAAACATGAGCGCAACAGGCCCTAAACCCTAAATAGTAGTTTCCATTTTCTTTTCCAGTATCTCTATATATCCCCTACATAACCCCCTATAGGGGGAATGGGGAATGCAGGTCACCGGCCAACTGGGGAGTGTCATGAGCGAGTCCAGTAGCATCTCGCTTACGCCCCTCGGCTTGAAATGGGGGTTTCCCAAAATTAGGGCTACCTTTGGGGTCCCCATAATAAAGATTATAGTATTTTGGGGTCTATATTGGGGTCCCCTTATTTAGGGAAATTACTAAATCAATAAGTTTGTGAGTTCAGACGAGATGTTTGCGGGTGGTCCGAAGTATCTTGTGTACTGAGTACTGTAGGATGACCACGTATCTTCAACCGTTTGCAAGCCGGCGCAAATGCAATTTACTGAGGTTCGCGCGGATGTTTCTGCGAGAGTTCTGGCCTTGGATCTACTGTAGTATATTGGGGTAATATTGGGACCTTGGGAGAACGGAAAAGAAAAAGGAAACTACTATTTGGGGTTTAGGGTTTAGGGGCTATATTGGGAGAATAGAAAATAAAGATGGAAACTACTATTACCATAGATTTTTGGGGTAATATTGGGAGAATGGAAAAGAAAATGGAAACTACTATTCAGGGTTCAGGGTTTAGGGGTTATTGGGAGAATGGAAAATAACACGGAAACCACTATTACTATAGTATTTTGGGGTAATATTGGGAGAATGGAGAAGAGAATGCAAACTACTATGAGAAGAAATTGGTTGGTTTCTTCGAACTGGCGTCCCAAGGTCGGCAAGAAGAAGGGGATACGTGTTTGCAGACTGCCATGCAAACCCCCACCCCTCCCCTTCTTTCAAGAGTCAGGGCAACTAACGTGCGTAATTTCTTCACATTCCCGTAAGAGGCTACATGGTCTTTTTAACGTAAGTTCTAGCGCTGAGGGTATCCATGGAGTAATGCACTGTATGTTTCCAGAAATCTCTAATCTGGAGGGTCCCGATTCTGATTCTCACCACTTGGCCGGCAAGGGCTTCTTCAGCAGAGAAGGGCAAGGGTCATGCAAACAGATGTGCACGCGCACTTGGTGAATTCAATTGCCACAGTACGGAAACTATTTACTTTGGGGGTTCTATAGGGATTATATAGAGTTTAGGGTTAGGGGTACCATTTTGTTTTGGGGGGTCCCCATAAAACAGAACTGAAGGGCCAGATCTGCAGTGTTCCGGCGAGATTCAGGCTGAAAGGCGCAACCCGTGGTCTCTCGAGCACAAGTGGTCTTTTCCTGAAGCACCGCAGATCCTGAACCCTGAGTAAGGGAACCCCAAAATACAATCCAAGATACTATAATACTTGTTATGGGGACCCCTAGAAATGGTATCCCTAATTTTGCAAATCCAGAAACCTGCTTCCTGAATCTTGAAACGCCTCAGCATGAATCAACGAACCTTTTTAGGGTTTAGAGCTTAGGGTTTAGGGTTTAGGGTATTGCAGATAAAGCTCCAGAACCCTGGCCCTAAATGCACAGCGACCCTTCAATAAAAAAGCTTGGTCCGTGTAGGCTGTCTCCCGATAACTCCTACTTGGACAAGGCAGCTGCTTGGGGTGTAACGGCGATGCGGTCATCCTATCGTGGGCGCAAGCAAATTGGGGAAACCCATGGCGTATGTCCACGACGACACTCAAAGAGAAGGTTGCTAGTTGACCCAAAAGGTTTAGGGTAGAATAAAAGCTTATGGCACTTTCTACAGATATGCGAGATTTTGCAGGGTGAGAGATGTGGCAAGGTTTGAGGAGTTGAGAAAAGTCTACCACAGCTGTAAGCAGAGGTCTACCGAAAGCGAGCCAGATGTCTCAGCACGAGGGGTCAAAAGCAAACAGCTTCCAAGCACACGGTCATGTGGTCAACGCCATGACTTCGGCTTGGAGCGTCTTGGATGCTTGGTTTCTTTGCCGGTGTTGACGAAAAAGTAGCGTTCCCTCTTACAACCTGGAGAAGCAGTTAAATCATCCCCTTCACCAGGATAGCTGAGGGCTGAGGGGTATTGGCACTGCGTTGTACAAAGTATGTGGGCAGCCTTTGCAGTAGGAATCATCGTGATTGGTTCTAGCTTGTACATCGCCTTTGCGGCTGCTACTCTTAGGAGCCACCGAAAATCAGGGCTCTAAATCCTGAACCCCTAGCAAGAGCCCCGCCATCCCTTAGGAATTATTCGCCCCAAGACACATTGTACCATTATAGAATCTGGGAAGTATTTAAGCTCAGCCTTTCGTAGAGCTCGGCGCTTTAGCGAAGAAGGCTTGGAGCTTGATTTGTAACTTCGGGCAGACACCAGTCGCATTCGCTGAGCTTCGTCTTCCACCCTGAGAAAACCTAAAAGCTTGAAGCGTGGCTCTTTCTGTTGCAAGACGGAAAAAGGAGTGACAAAAGACAACTTCAACCACGTAACAAGACTATGAATTTCTTGAGCATTGCTGTTGACCATTGAGACTTCATGTTCTTGTGCAGCGCATGTAGCGCAAGCCGGAACCCAAAAACGAATCCTAGTTTAGGGTTTTCCTCTGCAAGTCCGAAAAAGAAGGGTTTAGGGCTTAGGGCTTAGGGATTTGCAGCTCCGACCCTTATTGATGGCTTTTGGGTCATGCTTCGGCTGTGAATTCTATCGTATTGACACAAGGTGCGTGCGGCTGGTTTGGGCAGCTTGATACGCTCCTTCCTAGTGACTGAGGCCCCTGGAGTAACTTTGTTTAAGTTCTTTTGAGTTCCTTAATAGCAAACCAGTAGATCGGCAGTCAAACCTCACTGCCATCCCAAGAACTAGTGACGCTCCAGTACTTCTTTGAGGCTTGAGCTAAAACATTACAGCCCGAGATTCCTTATATAAGTAAACATTTCAATGTGATGAAGTTAACTATTTAGGCCCCTGCGTTAAACGCCCTATAAGCTTCCACGTACACCCAGTGTCCAGTTAATGTTCCATGTTCTTTGCCATCTGATTCACCCCTAAACCCTAAACTAAACCCTAAACCAACCATTATTGGTGGATGATGTCCCATCTTTAGGCCCTACAGTACTTCGCCCTGCAGAGGCTCAGATCCACTTGAATGTCCCTGAGATTGCCACTCCAAAGGCCATTTTGCAGTGAAACCTGCCAAGCTCCTACTACTCACGTATGATTACGTCATTATAGGGTACCTCAAATGGACCTCAAATTGATGTTGGTGAGTTATTCAGGCCCTATATTAAATGCACCTGCATTGAAGACCCCCAATATGGTACCAGTCAGTATACTGTTCGAGGAGTGTTAGGGAGGTGGAAAGGTTTAGGATTAGGGGAACGAGATTAATCAAGACCTGCCTGGAATCTGAATTCAGGGATTGGGGTTTCGGGGTCGGGGTTGGATTCTAGCTTCCTCAGTTTAGGGAAGCCCTGGGGACCTAGTTGTGGCTTTATATGGGTTATAAAGAGATGACCAGAATTCTCCTTAGGAGACTATAGCACCACAATGATACGAAATAATCCTTCCCGAATTTCTAGCATTCCACACCCCCTAATTTCATCAGCTAGTTTTGCCAGAAGCCCGAACATGTGTTGGGAGCATATTGGATATCGATTGGTCAGGGCGGTAAATATCTTAACGAGAAACTGCAAAGTGGCGTGATTGATTGATGACCTTGCTTTCGCTGAGAACTTAATCGACTCCCATAGACCCCACTGAAGAAATCCTATACAGCGCTCTCTTGTGCAAGTGAGCTTTTCGTGCGTTGACGTGCTAGAAGCATGAACCTGGAATGGCATGACAGGCCTAAACTCCCCCGCCCCCTTCACCTCCAAGTACCCACCTCTGGAGGATGGACCATCCGCGGGCGTGACCATGGCAACCGCCTTGCTCAGTTTAGCCCTGGGTCGGCCAGTGAGGCTGCCAGCGGCCAATTCTAGACACATAAGCTACATTCTAAACTCCTTAATGGGGGGTTATATAGGGGATTATGTAGGGGACTACTATAATGCTTATTAAGGGGGATACTAGGAGTTTAGACAATGGCTCACGTAGTGTAGGAGCTTAAATTTGCCCATATTATGGTCCTTAGCTCCTGTATAAGTTTGGTAAAGCTACTTCAACGGACCTCAAAATGGCCCCGGTAGAAGGGTTCCAATTGAATGAGACCGTATTGAGCAAACAAACCCCTATTTGTTTGAAAGGAAGCCTTACGCGAAGGCAAGATCCTTATCTTACTGGGCCTGAATACGCGTCCAGAATTTGATAGTCGGTAGTTGTGGAGGTTCTATCCTTTGACGGAGTACTTGGTTTATGAGACTCAGTAGTTAACTACTTATAAGCATGGTTATGAGCTTACTTACTTTCCAGAAAACCTAAATGTATAACATTGTAGGTCTACTGACAAGTAGCTACTGAGTCCCATGAACCTCTAGGTATGATCACTATAAGGGAACCTTCAATTCAGAAGTCGATCCGGCACAGAGCCCCGTCAAAGCCTTATCAGTAGAATCCAGGTCAGTAAGATCCAGTATGGACATGGTGGTGCATTCATCCACTGTAGATCCTGGGTCCTCAACAGCCTTCTCCGCAGATTACAAATGCAAATCCTCCGAGCAAGAAGCGCTCCAGTCACGAACCCCATAGCCCATGGCTGTGCAGGCTTTGGTCAGTGGAACCCTGCTTTTCTTGTCCACAGGAAGAATACAGCATTGGGATGTACCAGTAGTGTATCTTGGTTCTACCTCAGGAGCTACAGGCACTTGTTAGACATCCTGCAGAGTCAACATGAGCCCCACTGAACTCATAAAGGCCGCTGTAGAATTACTCAAGCTCCTGAATTTGGAGCGACCATGCGATACACACTCCTGGTTGAGCTTTGGTTTCGGGTTTGGAGTTTCGAGTCGGCAGCCCCTCACCCGCGCTTTCAGTTCTTGGTATGAGGACTTGTAGAACACCTGGGGAAAGCAGCTAAGTCTTGGTGGCCGGTGGGAATAGCGCAAGCAAGGCTCAAGGACTCAGGAGAAAGTGAAGGACAGGGAACGAATATAGTCCCCCTTGAGTAGATAGAATATGGGGTATATGGGGATCTTATTATAATATACCCGAAGCCATAGTCTATCTACTTAAGAGGGACTATAGGCTCAAACGTTTTCACGCGAGGGCTTTGCACTCAGCTGGGCAGTCTGGTGAGTGAAAAAGGCTTCACATCAGTTGGTGAATATGTCCTTTACAAAGTCCAGCAAAACTCTGTACAACAGCCAACAAAGTAAAGACAGCTAATGATTTGTGTTTCGATTCTTGCTGTTTTATTATCATGAATACGACTATTGCAGTACTACTGCTGTTATTTCCCTAAACCCTTACTCCTAAACCCTAAGCCCATGTCTACAGGGTCCCAATCGAACGAGCATTTTTGAGCCTTAAATCTGCAACGGGAGGCCAGATATTGCGATGACGGGCGAGCTCACACTCATGGGCAAAGTTCTCAAGGTCGACTCCTCAGGTGTAGGGACTAGGGTTTAGGGCTTAGGGATCCCTAAGCCCCACTTGGAGGGTCAGGGGGACTTAGTAAGCAGGCTAATAATGGGGATAATTAGGGTTACTATTTGGGTTATAGGGGTTATGAACCTACTTACTAAGTCCCCCTGACCTCCAAGCAAACCTATTAAGGTTAAGGGTTTGTTTGTGCAGGACTTCAGAACCAAGGCCCCGAGCCTAGACCCCGAAAGGGCAGACTAGCGTGTTCACCAAATCTGACTTCCCTAATGTAGACCCAGTCTGGGGTTATATGGAGATGTAGATGGCTAATGGAAAAGAAAATGGAAACTACTGTATAGGGTTTAGGGTTTAGGGTGTAGACCCCTGATTAATAAACCCCTTCCTTTTCAGGGCCTTAATATCAGGATCCCCATTATAAGCTCTGGTAAGGGGAGGGGGTTTCTTGATCATGGGTCTGGGTTAATAACAACCCAACACCCCACAAAGCTTTTGTGCTTGAAGGCATTTGCGCCATGAGTTTCGTCATGTTCAGCCTGCCCCACCCAATGGCACTAAATATGTCCCCCGATATGTTTGAGTTGTGTGGAGGATATTTGATATTTCGGAGTGGGGGAGCGTTTCATGTCTTGGTCTGAGGCGAGGAGGTATCTCCAGGTAATCCTTCTGTACTTGTGTTATCATATACTTTGTAGATCCCAATTCCTTTTTTCAATTGTTTTGCTCCACTGCATGGCGCCACGATCAGCTAGGCGATCTCAGCAATTCTGTTAGCTTGTCATGGTGAAGGACGGCTCACGGCACAATGTCAGCCCCTAACCTCCTACGACTCTGGCCTCGGCGCAGCCTGACGGCTGTTCGAGCAGAAGAGGGGGAGGGTTAAGAGGATGCGTAGAAGGTCATAGATCTTCAAGGGCCTTTATGTGTGAAAGACGATGTCCGAATAAGTTCAGAAGGTCAAGCCCCTTGTCTTGGGGGCTGGCCTAAATAAAAGAGCGACACCTGCTGTGATGTATTGTGTGGTTGCGAATTATGGTGGAGCCGTATTTTGCCATGCTTGTTGCCCTACTTTTCAGACAGGCTAAGCCCTGTTTCTTCAAGATGGCATTTTTCAACATGGCATTCGGCATTACGCTGCAAGAAGAGTACCTCAGAAACCTGCCGATAAGGTGGCAAATTTCTCCGGTGTAGGACCCAAAGCAGGGCTCGCACATCTTTGGACTACGTGGGCGAAAGAAGGGACACGCCAAGCGCGAGCTGCTCCTATAGTATACACTTGCATGCAGAAGCAGAACCTAGATAGCAACATGAATCTTCAAAGAAGAAGGCCGTAGGGTTATGGAGCTGCAGCTTTAGGGCACCCCCTTTGAATTACCTGCCAAATAGTTGTCCAGAAGCAGGAAATTCACGGCTTAGGGAGACCTTTGCCTGGCCAACAGTGAATCATAGGGAGCCAATAGCTGCATTTAGGGGACAACTTGCGGCCCCTCGTGGACAATGCGATGATGGCCTCGACGCCTACCCCAAGTCACCCTGAAGTCACCAGATCATAATATTAATATTAATTATATTCATATTGATAATATTAATAATATTCATACTGATAATATTAGTTTTAATAGTATTGATATAATTACTTTTAATATTATTCATATTAATATTATCAGCTTGTAAAGGTGGGCGGCATCAAAGAGAAGGCTGGCGGCCGACTTTGGTTCAATGGGTTCATCGGGCACTTGAAGCTTCATGGGCAGTCAGAAGTGGAGTTAGAAGTCCCGTGCCTAATGATAACTCAACTTTGGTCCTGCTGGGGGCGGCATATGGGGATGGAAGAGACATCCCATCGAGTAGGGGTTTTAGGCCATGCATTGATACATGTTGAGCTTGGGGTGCCGCAGAAGAAGCGATTCTCGGTTAAGCCTAACGCGGAGATTCACGAGATCATGCTAGGACTGTTAGGATTCTGCCCGGATGATGATATGAGCTATAGTCTAAACTCCCATATCCCCCGTAAGACCTCCGTAATACAATACTCCCCTGTATAACCCCTTTGAGGAGTTTGGCCTATGGCTTATGGGTTGGGTCGAGTGTTGGGGTTGAAGCTTTTTTCCAAGACATTGTATTATCTTCTACGCTAGTTTCCATAAAGAGGGGAAGCCCCATATATTTGCTCTTAGAGTGATTATTAGGTACTCCCAAAAGGAATCCCTAATTTGCGCCAATCCCGGCTTCTATTCCCAGCCGGAACCCTTCTTCTTTTGAGGCGGGAACTGCATGCGATCTGCTGGGTTGGGTAGCCAGAGTTCCTGGTAGGCTCCAATACAGGTTCCTCAATGATTACCACTATCATAGTCCCTTTAGGGGGTTAAAGGGGACGTGCAGGCTTTGGTTTTGGGGGCAAAGTTATCAGTCTCACGGTCCTAGGTCCTAGGTTCCTGGTAAGTGCTTAGTATCCGGTACCTCACGCAGACCTCAGTATGAGACTGGTATCTATTCGTGCTCTGTCTGAGAGTCTAGAGCTCAGCCTGTTGAGGGGTGCGCATCCATACGCGCGGCAAGAGCCGAGAAACCCTGGCAATTAAGCACCTGGCAAATGTCAAAGTATCTCCACCAGAAGTCTAGAGATCTTCACACGAAAGCCAGGGCTCGTAGTCCAGCTTCAAATTTAACAAGTTGGGATGAAGCAACTTCATCAGAACAACTTAGGGGTGCTGAAGAGGGAGCGCGGCAGTGAGTACATGTACTTCTCCGTTGAGACTAGGGCCCTCGCATGCCCGCAGTATTCCCAAGAACTTTGCGGGCAATGCTTCGAGGCAGGCTCTAGGTCCTTCACTTTCTGAATCTTTCTGACCTTAGATCCAGTTCCGCGCTCGGTGGAGAATGAAAGTCAGCAACGTAGCGAAGGGTACCTAGACATGGCTTTTCAGACAAAGATCAGTAGTCCCCAGCCAAGATCCCAGGACTCTGTCTCCGCACCGAGCCAACAAAGGATTGAAGTCACCGTCCCAAACAAGGTAACCCCTTCCAGTTTCGACACGCTCTATTGTACATGTACAGACTAGCACATCAATCTTTCCGTCCAGGTGATTGCAGCGCGCAGGGAGAATGTCCGGACACTGCTGATGCGCGGCGCACAGCTGCAAAGTCAACTCAGTAGCACCCGCAACTCAAAACCCTTAACCCTTGAAACCCAAACCCTAGGGGGACTGCAAATGAGATCTTGACAGGGAATCTCATCACTCCACTATGTTTTTGCATTGCTTGCATTAGGCGCGTGCCAAGGCCAATCTTCTCAAGATTTTGCCGGTCTGAGGTTCAGCCTAGGATGCACTCACTTGAAAATGTGCGGGTGACTTGGCAAGTGCAGTATTTGTAGCTATTGCAGGGTGGAAGGTACAAGGAATTTGCTTTACATGCTAGCTAACTCCTACTGTAGCAGTAGATGATGAAGAAGTAAGCATTTTTTCGTTGTGGCCACGCCATAGAGATTGGGTTTGCGAATCTATGTTTGGGCTTGCCTATCAAGACTTCAACAGGCGCTCGAAGATTTTGCGCTGATTCAGTTGAAGCTTACTTCGCATTCTGTAAGCGCTTGAATCCAGACCCCGGTTACTGACTTGTCGAACCCCTAGTTTCAGGACTTGAGGCATCACAGGTTGGGTGTCGCGTCTTCAAGCCCTGGTTGCGTGGCCGATTCTCGGGGCATGGGTTGTCCGGCGCATGCCCCGTTTCGCACGGCCGAAAAGTTCACTACACAAAAACATCCACACACGTTTTTGGTTCTGAGGTCAGCAAGGGATGCGTTCCTGTGGCGTAGGAGCTACATTTATAAGTTCATCCCCAAAGTCTTCGAACCTCTCGAGGGCTTCACTGCGAACATCTCCTATTTGTCTTACCCTGCAAGCATTTCAAAACATAGCCTGAGCTTCTAACCATGACTCCTACGTTGCGCTTCGCTTATGAAACACCCCGCATACGCATGAACCCCACGACCTCTGCGCGCTATTTAATTTTTAATTCCTCAAAAATCTCCGCAGTAGTTGGAGAGCACACTAAGAGCCCAACTGTCCTTCTCTAACCTCAAAAAATCATTCCCTAAGCATCTAGTTGGTGTCCCTGTAGAAACTTAGGATCCCCAAGGGTAGCGCCATGTGGCCCATTTTTTTGCCGCCGCTTGGAGCGCCAACCCTGGCACCTCGGCCCACGCTGCAGCGGCCACGGCTTTGCAGTGCCCCAGGCGCGGTTCGGGGTCAGCTGGACGAGGTTGGAGTTTCGTGAAGGGGGGGGGGTTAGGGGTTTGGGTCTGGGTTCCATTCAGCTTTGAAGGTTCGGAACTTGGGGTCTTTACCTCAGCGTCCAGGATGTCCCTCGCAAGGGACCTTGCAGTGTGCGCAGTGCGCGTTGCGGTCAGGACCCTGTTGCTTTGGCAGCTCGTGTGTCCTAGGTGCCAGCTCGTGTGCGTTATCTAGTGGATGGTTACGCATGTCGTAAATTTCTGGGGTTCGTGTCGGGCATGGCATTGCTGCGGTCATTCTCAAGCCCACACGCGTGAATCCTTCCATAATCCATACTCCATACCCTTAGCTGCTGAATCTCTGAATCCTTAGCTGCTGAATCTCTGAATCCTCACCCCCGAACCAGAGTTCAAAAGCTGCATGCAGCCATTCCGAAAAGCTTCTGTCCCACCCTCTAGCCTATGAACCCGAACCCCCAATGCGAAGACCACACACACGCACTTTCGGGCATGAACGTGTCTTCCGTTACAGTCTGAATAGTCTGGAGTGCCCGGGCTGGGTCAGGGAGCCCATCTGATCCTCATGATGCTGGGCCTTCAAGCCATGAACGGTTGTGTCATGGTGTCCAACCTGTACTGACACAAGTTGGGTTCCATTTTGCTTTGGGGGATGGCTTTGGCGGCTTTAGTGAGCATTGCAATGGAGCTCATCTTGTTCAGCCCCTTTGCATGTCACAACCCTGAATTGCCGCTGGATGGACAGCTCTAGGTTCCAGCTGATGCTCATGATGCTGGCTGCTCTCACCATGAACGACTAGAAAGTTCCCACCTGAAGCTGATGATGCTGGGCCTTCTTGCCACGGAACGGCTGGAAAGGTCCCAGCTGATGCTCATGATGCTGGCTTTTCTGACCATGAACGACTCGAAAGTTCCCTCCTGATGCTCATGATGCTGGGGTTTCGTGCCACGAACGGCTGGAAAGGTCCCAGCTGATGCTCATGATGCTGGCTTTTCTGACCATGAACGACTAGAAAGTTCCCAGCTGATGCTCATGA